TTATTCTGCTTCTCTTTTCCTGGGAGATGTTCTCTCTAATGAATCACTAAAGTAACACCATTACATTCCTAAGATGAAGATCCAAAATGGTATAGAGGAAAGAATGAAAAGTCTAATGTTTTTCTAATACTTTCTGCAGGTTATTCAGAATTCACGGGGAAATACTTCATCAGTGTGGGTTCAGGAGCAATTGAAAATGAGAGGATACAGAGTCTGCATTTATTTTGCCCCTGCCATTTATTTTCTCATGCATTTTCATCAATGTATATTTGCTTTTCTTGGCTGTCATTATTTATCCTGTAATGTATGCATTGTGCATACTTTTCTCTTACAGCTAATTGTAAGCATCTATCTCGTGGAATATGTACTCTGAAAGTGCCATCCAAAATAGCCTTGTTATTTTCTGTACAACAGTTTAATCATTATGATCTCATGTGATCTCACCTCCACTGAGATAGACTTTCTGAGAAAACGTACAATTGCAGTGTGTTGGTGAAAATTCAAGTTGAATAAATTACCGTAATATTCAGAATATAAGCAAGGGGGAAAGCAGTGTTTTAAAATCCCTCCCTTACATACAGAATATTCTACACATTTTCCCTTCTATGACATACTGTGTTATTACTCATGCTTAAATGCAAGCATAAAGAACAGGTCAGTGTTGCTTAGGGCACAGAGTACTTTCTGAATAATTTTTTGTGAAGTCATAAATTCAATGCTATCACAGAATTATACCATGGACCATTAGAACAACTTAGCACAATTATGTCAATTTATTCCAAATAACTATAGACTGTACACAGTTAACCTCTTACTGTAAAAGGAAAGCCCAATAAAAAATAAGTATGCAAGTATAATATAAAGCTGATCAAAAAAGTTAAAATGCCAGTGTGATTTAAATTGCACAGTTCTCAAAGCAAACTGGAATACATTTCTGAATGCAAATCTTATAAATCTTTATTTAATGTTTTGTGCCAAGACTAGAGTCACACTCATTGCTATCTGCATTTTCAGCCATATCCATTTGCAGAAAGACTTGTTCCCAGAAAGCTTAGAAAGCAATTTCATTTATAGTGAAGTGGTATAAAATTTTCACTTTGAATCTCTGTAGGGAAGCCTGGGTTATTGAAGGTTTTCTGTTGAGAAACAATTACTCCATCCATTTACTGAATATTGTTTATTTTTATGTTGTGTGAAAGGCCCTGTGGGCTTCTTAGAACTTACTGGAAGAAGCAATTTAGGGAGAAAATATCCAATTAGCTCAAAATCTCAGGATCCACACAGAGTTTGTGTTCTTTGGGAGTCAATATGTTTGTTTTGGAGTCCTTCTGTGATTCATAAGGTGTTAGTCTTGCCTCTTTCCAAGATGATCATGAAGATATGTTTGCTTGATTAAAGTTACTAAACATAATGCAGCAAAAAATTATTGTATTTATTATTTGTAATTTCACTTTATTTATTTTTTTTTGGGGGGGGGGTCTGGTCGTGGGCCTGAACTCTGAGACTGGGTGCTGTCCCTCAGCTCTTCAGCTCAAGGCTAGTGCTCTACCACTTGAGCCACAGCACCACTTCTGACTTTTTCTCTGCTTATGTGGTGCTGAGGAATCGAACCCAGAGCCTCATGCATGCGAGGCAAGCGTTCTACCACTGAGCCACCTTCCCAGCCCCTACTTTATTTTTTGTAATGATGGGTATCAAAGCCAGTGCTTCGTATGTGGTAGGCAAGTGCAAAACATTTCTTATATTTCTGATATTCAAAATATGTTGATAGTTGTAACTGACAACTTTCTAATTCATAGCATGAGAAAGTAATGAGAATTAGTCATTTCTGTCTTGTAATAAAAAATCAGAAGCTCTCAATTTAAGTTCAGTATTTGTCCAGTCAACATGAGGCATTTTTACTTTGTTTTAAAGTTTACACGTGATAGGTGAAAGTGACCTAGAGCTTCTAAACCTGTCTCTACCCTATAACTCAAAGCAGCTGAGTTTGCCTCTTCATTTGAATGCCTTCATGAGGTTCTCAGGTCTCTTGCCAGTTTTCTACCTTTCCATATTAAAAATCTCCATTAAGCCTGAATTTTCTTTTAAATAATAATAGATACAATTTATTGAGTAACACCCTGGGTCAAATATTACTTTCTTAGTTGTCAGAGCTATAAAATTTTACTGATAGGATTATCAGTCAGTGTGGATGGGGGACAATGCTGTTGATTGTACCCTTTCTCCCTCTGATACTTCTCTACTATCTCCTCTTCCACCCTTAAGTCAACATCCATCCTTCCTTTAACCATAGTATTTCACTATTGATTTCTTCCTTAATGGTACATATTTTTGAGAAGTCACTCCTAAACTCAGTCTTCTATGGTTTCATCTTTTATGTTATATATATTTCATAGAGGTGATGGATAAGGCAATATAATGTGCATAAATGATATATATTATCCATAAATTATATATGTATATGAGTATATTTGGGTATGTGTATGAGAGAGAAAGAAAGTGTGAGAGCAAAGGCATGTGAGAGAAAGGGAGAGTCAGGGGGGTGGGTCCCCTTCACACAGGAATGATGGAGCCTTAGCACACAGACTTTCTTAAAAATAGTGTGATGTACCAGAGAGTAGACTCAACAAGTCCTGTTCAGATGGAGAAAGGAAGGTAGAATCACATGATTGACATTTCTTCTTCAATGTTTTTCTTCATGTTTCTCAGAAATTCTCATCTCCAAAGTTTCTTTCCATTTGTTTTTTTTCTGCTCTGTAGGGGTTCATTTATTTTATGCTCATTAAGAAAAGTTTAAAAAGTGTTTTTTCTTTTTTTGAAAAGTCCTTTGATTTTTCTTTTCAAAGCACTGGGTTTTGTATTTTTATACCCCCTTAAAAATACAGTCAAGAGTTTATAAGGAAAATCAGATAAAACATCTTTTGCTTGAATGGTTACTAGGAAACTTGGGGGATTTTCAAGCTTTCCAAATTGAAATGCAGTGTTCTTATTCCTTGATCAGCTTTCTAGACTTTTGTTCCCAGGCACTTGTTTTAAACATTGACATAATTAAGAAAACTATCACACATCTAGCAAACTTCTATGGACAAGTACTTTCAGGAACCTAATCCATTCCCTGTGTACTAGTGCTAATTTTGTCCTGCCTTCCTCTTTCAAAAAATACAGCAAGGATACAAACATAGGGAACCAGGCTAGAGAAGGAATGTATACACCTATGTAATGTAACATCCACACCTTGTATTCTTTTACACATACTTTGTATTAATAGTGAAATTTTTGTCACATATCTAAAACCTGCAACCCAAGTCCTAATAGAGACCAAGTTGAGATTTTCTTATCTGGTCTAATGACCTCATCATCTACTAAGTAATTTAAAAAGTGGAGATATTTATTGACTATGATTTATCCGGTAGCATCCTGACACTGGACTGCAATTGTTTTTTTAAAAGTTTATCGCTCATTTACATCGATACTGCATGCATGCATTAAGATGTAAATCATAAAAGATAAAATACATCTCAAATGTTAAGTGCATGGAATGAATAGCAATGAATACCATAATTTAGAGAAAGAGAGTATAAGTACCCAACGTAGGCTAAAAATGTACAGTGAACAGTCTAATAAAAAGTTAATCTTATTCTTCTTTCAGAGTGCAAATGATACCTCTTCTAAGAGGTAAATTTTCTGAAATAATCCATTCTGGAAACCCATCATGAAATAATTAGTCCCAACCAAATTACCCCTGTCTCTGTCCTTCCCTGTACTTCTCAGGACTCTGACAGTTTTCAGATGCACTCACGTAGTGATGTATTGTGTGTGGCCCTGACAAGAAAAAGTATCATTCCTACCAAGATGGAGGCTTTCTCTTGCTCATACTGTAAGCAAGGAACTCCTACTGTCTGTTACTTGTGAGCCAGTCATTCATATTTTCCTAATTAGTTATATACTTAAGGCTTAATTTCTTTAACTTTATGTTCACAGGTCCTATAGGAATGACTATTGAGTTCTTCACATTCTTATAGGCCATTAGGAAATACACATTTTTTAATTACAAAACAATATTTTTGAGTCAACTGTGTCTTTCCTTGATCATAATGTAAGCCAAGTAGGTTTCTAATTTCTCATATATCATTTTGAAGTTAAAGAAAATAATAGCATGTCTACTTTTTTTCTACATACTTTTTTTTGTCTGTTGTAGGGCTTGAACTCAGGGTTTGAGAGCTGTCCCTGAGCCTCTTTATGCTCAAGGCTAGTGTTCTACCATTTGAGCCACAGCAACACTTCCTGTTTTTGAGTGGTTAATTGGAGATAAGAGTTTCATGGGAACTTTTGTGTCAGGGCTGGCTTCAAAGCAGGATCCTTAGATCTCAGCCTCTTGAGTAGCTAGGATTACAGGCATGAGCTACTGGCACCTGGCTTTCTCCACAAGTAAGACTAAGCTATGAGTAATCTATTACAATATATATTTTTAGAAAACAGTACATGGCCCTTAACTGTAATCCTAAATACTCAGGAGGCTGTGATCTGAGGATTGTAGTTCAAAGCCAGCCAGGCCAGAATAGTCCAAGACTCTTATCTCCAGTTAACCACCAGAAAACCAGAAGCGGCACTGTGGCTCAGGTGGTAGAGTGCTGGCCTTGAGCTGAAGAGCTCAGGGACAGTGCCCAGGGCCAGAGTTCAAGCCCATAACCAACCAAAAAAACAAAAAACAGAAAGAAAACACTTCACACACATTTGATAAAGGCATTACCATAATTAGCTATAAAGTTAAGTAATGCTGTTATGAAAAACTGCATACTAATACCAAGCAAAGTTATCTTTTTTCACTCAACTCTGAGTGTGCTGTTGTGTGAATTTCTTTTTATTCCAGAAACACTAAAGAGTAATGCATTAAACCTTCCATTCTTGGCTTAAGACAACAACTCTGTAAAAAAGAAAATCATTAAGCTTGGACAAGGTAACAATTGCACATGTATTGATCTAATTTCTATATACTTTAGGATTTCTTTGCTAAGTGATGGAGGACTCCGAATAGCCAATGTGACCAAGGCCGATGCTGGAGCCTATACTTGCACTGCCGAAAACCAGTTTGGAAGAGCAAATGGCACAACCCGCTTGGTTGTTACAGGTCAGTGCACCTCCTAAAAATGGATTCTTTAGTATGGTTAAAGAAACTGACTGTGTTATTTTTTACAATATGCATTGCACTTTGATTATAAAACCACTGTTTGCACTCACATTTTTAACAGAGGATTGTCAAGTGGCAATACTTACTATTTCTTCAGAATAGCAGATTGGATCATGGGGGAGGAACCCATTCATGACTGTGTTGGGATGATGGGCAATAAAAATTCCAAGGAGCCTATGCGGAAGATCTTTTGTTTTCTTCTGTTCTCTGCATTAGATTTTTCAGGCACACTTTCTCTTATTCATTTATAATTATTAAAGTTTATGAAGTAATCTTTTACATCAGTGAAATCTACTTAAGCTTGTGAAGGTATTTACTGGTGATTGAGTTTAGGGCCTTTAGCTCTTTCATTCAAGTCTAATACTTTACCATTTGAGCCATAGTTCCCCTTCTGGCTATTTTTCTTGTTAATAGATATATAAGTTTAACAGATATGTCTGCCCTGACTGGCTTTCAGCTCCCAATCCCTTAAGTAGCTAGGATACAAGCATGAGGCACCAGCCCCTGGCATTACCCCTCTATATTGTAAAGAAATAAAATTGAGTTGAAATTGATTTTTGTCAGTGTTATAACTCTCTGTGTAAGGTTGTCTTAATTTCTAAACATAAATATTACATAAGCTCAGATATCTTAATTCCTTTCACAAAGATTTGTGAAAACAATAAAATATTGCTCTGCATTAAAATGTCTATTTTCATCTTATGGATGCTTAATGACTCAGATGTGTATGTATATCTCTGTATAAACAAACTATAATTCTGCTATACATACTTGTTGCAAAAATTGCTTTCAGCACAAGAAAATACTAAAGTCTTACTTGTCAATTGCTTATTCAATAGAACCAACGAGAATAACGCTGGCACCCTCTAACCTGGATGTCTCCGTAGGCGAGAGCGTGATTTTACCCTGCCAGGTGCAGCATGACCCCTTGTTAGACATAATATTTACCTGGTATTTCAACGGAGCCCTCACAGATTTTAAGAAAGATGGATCTCACTTTGAGAAAGTAGGTGGGGTAAGTTGTGGTGCTTTTCTTATACTTTATGTATTTTGCATGTCTGTGATACATTTCCTCTTTAAAAATCTCATTTAGTTTGTAATACTAGAAATCAAACACATTACTTCAACAAATAATTGTGTGTTTGTGTGTGTGTGTGTGTGTGTGTGTATGCGTGTATGTGCATGCACACATGAGTGCTTGCTATTCCTGGGGCTTGAACTTGGATACTGTCCCTTAGCTTTTTTGTTCGAGGCTAGAAATCTACCACTTGAGTCATAGCTCCATTTCTGGGTTTTTGGTGATTAATTGGAAATAAGAGTCCTGCTGGGCTAACTTCAAACCACAATCCTCAGATCTCAGCCACTGGAGTAGCTAAGATTAGAGGTTTGAGCCACTGGCACCTAGTTTCCCCCTATAATTTTAATTAAAATTAGTGTTTATATTAAATGTTATTTCCAAGGACAATTTTGTTGTGGTAGTCCATGTTATAGCCCAAATGTTCTAATTCAAGGATTTGCTTTCAACAAACATATTCATGTTGAAGCTGAATGTCAGTAGCATTTACTTTGCATTTGGTCCAGTTCTTTCATCCCAGTCAGTTTGTAAGGTGGGAATGGAAGCTTCATTCCAGGTTGTCCTTGCAGTGGCTCTGGACATGAGCCATAAGACTCTTCATTTTCCAGGTCTATGAACTGAAGATTTGAAGAGTAGTAATTCTACCAGTCAATCATCTTGTTAGTGATGGAAGCCCAGATCAGTGTATCTTCACAATTCTATTGTGCCTCGCATGTGATGGTTCTATTCTACAAAAAAAATAAGAGAGAGATTTCAAATAAAAATTGACATTTGGAGAATGACTAAGAAGTGACTCAATATTGGTGAGCCACCAAGTATGAGAATTGTCCTTGTAGACAGCCAGGCTGCCTTGTTAGCAGGTCTATACTACTGACCCCAGGATAGTCTGTATGAAACAAGGGCACACATGGTTTTTCACTTATGGATTTAATATGTGGGCATCTCTTAGAAAAACACATAAGGCTCAATTTACTTACAGTCTTCTGATTGAGGCTTTTTATTAAATGTATATTTAGGTAAGGATTATTTGCAATTCAAAAGGATGCTATTGAGAGTTTTTATCTTTCCAAATCATGTGATCAAGTACTAATACCAAGCACTTCATAATGTGACCTTATGTGGAGATAAGGTTATTGCAGGATCAATAATTAAGCTAGAGGAGATCATCGTGGAATACGTTAGGCCCTTATCCAATCTAGCTAGTATCCTTGTAAAAACAAATTAAATGCAACACAGACACTCAGAAAGGAGGGCAACATGGGAAGACGCAAACACAGAGGAACAAAGACAGATAATAGAGGCTGAGATTAGAGAGATGCTCCTACAGCCGAAGAATGTCTAGAGCCACAAGAACACAAAGAGATTTATATTTGAAGGGAGCTTAGCTCCATCCACATTTGATTTTAGACTCCAGAACTGTGAGAAGCCAAGTCTGTTGTTTGATGCTATTTAGTCTGTGGAACTTTGTTATGGCTACTCTAAGAAAGTAATATGGAAAAAGAAATTTTTATAAAACTGCAAAGTCAGTCACCATTAAGTACAGTTTTATTGTCATTTCCAACATCTGCCCATACTTCATTTTAGAAGTATGTGTTTTCTTTTCTTGTTTTTTTTTTAATGGGCCTGGACACTCTCCCTGAGCCCCTGAGCTCTTTTGCTCAAGACTAGTACTCTACCACTTTGAGCCACAGCTCCACTTTCCACTTCCAGTTTTTGAGTGGTTACTTGGAGATAAGAGTCTTATGGGGACTTTCCTGCTGGGGCTGGTTTTGAACCACAGTCCTCAAATCTTAGTCTTCTGAGTAGCTAGGATTGCAGGCATGAGTCACTGGTGCCTGGCTTAGTACTTGTCTTAATTCTACTGATTGAATTTACTATTCATTTTGCTATTGCTTTAAATGCCTATTTTTAAAACTCATTCCTACTTGTTTCTATAACAGGAAAAGACTGTGCCCATATTCACAGCCCCACTCTATAACATTCATGTGTTAATCTCTTCTTGGACAGAAGGCTTGGGTAGAATAAAATGGTAACATGTTACTTTTCTAAAGACCCCTTATGCAGGCAAGGAAGACTTATCTACTACAGCACCTCTCCTCATATTAAATCTTACACTATGAAATTTGCACCATACATAGTACTTCACACCTTATAATCCCAACTACTTGCGAGGTAGAGGCAAGCGGTTTGTGAGTTTGAAGCTAGCCTAGGCAAATGCAGACAACCCTGATTTCAAAAGGGTTGGAACATGGTTCTAATGGTGAAGCTCTCTATTAAATCCCTAGTGCTAGAGAGAAAAAGAAAGACATCAATTTGAAGTATTAGTTACCTTAATAATTATGTTTTTAATTTATCAGCTGGATTTGTAAACTCTTGGTGATATTTTTGTCCATATAAGACCCACTACATTAGGTAGTCCTAAAGAAATGAGTAATGAAAGACTGAAAAGCTGAAGTAGTTTGATTCTAGTAGGCCACAAAAAAAAATGCTCAAAGCCACAAAGAAATACTCAAAGGCTGAACTTGATTGCTTTTTTCTGTTAGAGGAACTTGTATTTAAGAACGTGCAAATTGATAATGTAATTTAACTCTCCTGATTTACACGGCATTGATGGCTCTACGGAAGGCATAAAGTCATCTCTGTAAAGAGTCAAGTGTCTGAAACGTGAAATTTCATAAATTAATGCCATCACTTGCCAATTTTGTTCCTTCCATAACATGTGAGTTCATGGCCTATGAATTTTTTTTATTCACTGGTGCCATTAGTAGTCTAATATTCTTCCATCAGTATAAAACAGTAAAGCCATACAAGATGGCATTGCCCTTAAGCACAGCAATTAAGTAAATCGGTTTTCGGTTGCATGAGAAGGGAGTTATATAACAGCTCTTCTCTGATTTTGTATTCATTACAGCATGCACACTAATACCTAGATAGTCCACTTGTCTTTTTTTTCAGTATATTCATAGAATATTTCTCACTTGCAAAAAAAACAAACAAGAAAATATGAGCAAAGAAGCTAGGTAAAGGAAAAACTGCTTTGCAGTATATATAACAAGGTCTTTGTTTAAAGGTAAAACAATCGTTTAAATTAATGAAGATTAATTTACCACAGAAGTCTTGAAAGGTGTGGTGAGGTATGATTGAGAGGGAAGATCAAGGCCCTCATACACAAGAGTTTTAGGGTACCCTGCTTACTTGATGATGGATCACTTAAATCTTTATTCCTTATTTTCTGATCTCCTTTCCTACCAGCTTTTGGTCTCACCCCAGAATACTACTTTTCCTCCTTTTGGCCCATGTACTTTCATATTGGATGGTGTCTATATATTCACACTTGTACACTTATATTTTACACAATGAGTAGAGAATCATGTCTCCGAATAAGTATGTTCTATCTACTCATATATGACCACCATGAACTCAGGGAGGAGTAAAGAGATTTCATTATCTTCCCCAGGATAGTATCTTTCTTTCTTTTAAATTGACCTCAGCTCCTGCTGATAGAAAGAGTGTAGTGATAGATCAAAGGCCGAAAGAAACAAAGGAACATCACTGTGTTGTTTAAGGATCTGAAACCTAGTAATATAACTGATTTTAAGAACACTCAAAGGTGTTTATGACTTACTTAGCAATCTAAGTATTGGACTTAAGAGATGTTATATGATAGATGTTCACTGTAAACAAAAAGATGTTAGCCTATACATAGTAGGCATTCACTATAGCTTGTAAGGATGTTTAAACGTACATGCTTTGATAAACTGTATATGTTTCTAGTACTTGGGAAATGAAGAATGTCTAGAACCAAGCTATATAATTTTACAAACATTTTGTGGAATTGGATCTATGATGGATTAGATTGTGTGAGACTAAAAGTCACTAGAAGCAATAAGAAGCTGAGCAGTGACAACCAATCTGCCATTCATTTAACTAGCTCACTTCAATGTGATTTATTTCCCGCAGGCCACAATCTCACTCTGGTTGCAGCAGCTACTCGAGAGCTTAACGCTTGATGTATTTTCCAGCTTTCAGTAGTAGAAAAGATTTCTCCAAAAGTGATCCTTTGTGTGTGTGATGGTATGATGTGGTCACTTTGACTTGATTGGTTTGACTTATTTGGAATGAATGGTTACTATTTTGAAAGCAGCAGTCATTTTACAATACAGAGCTATGTTAAAGATTCTAGGTGTATTATAAATACAGATCTGAGGAAAGCATTGATTGTACAAACTATTGTTATATTCTGGGTTTTTAAACATCTCCTTCTTGGACTGTCTTTTCAATTGTGCATCTTGTCCAAACCCAAAACATGAGCTGACTTGGAAGGATTATTAAGAACATAGATCCAATAATGAGCCCATAAAATCACAACTGAGAAATTATGACCCCTCTTAAACTCATTCCCTAAAATACAACATCTCTTGTATTGCTATTTAGGGAGAAAATAAAATTCTAAACAAAAAACAAAATGACAACAACGAAAAAAAGTGTTCCCCAATGGTAGCTGAAGAAAGGTGAATGAATATGTGAGACATTTAATGCCCACTTACCTATCTTACCATTTACTTGACCAGGAACACAGTAGCTTAACTACTGGAGTCATAGATTGTGTTTTCATATACGATATTTATTAAGATGAATGGATGGTTTACTGATCTCTTCAATAGCACATAAGACTAAAATTGGAAGCTGGGCACTGGTGGATCATGTCTGTAATCCTGGCTACTCAGGAGGCTAAGATCCGAGGATTGTGGGTCAAAGCCAGCCAGGGCAGGAAAATCCATGTGACTCTTACCTCTGGTGAGCTACCAGAAAACTAGAAGTGGGCTGTGGCTCACAGTGGTAGAGTACTAGCCTTGAGTGTCTCAGGGACAGTGCCCAGGCCCTAAATTTAATCCCCACAACCGAAAGAAACAGAAAAAGAACAAAAGTCTAAAATTGGA